GGTGTGAAGCCGAATTTGCCTCGAATCTTCACATTTACATATATATTTTTTCATTCTTAAATGGCCTGAAGATGTAATGTGTATTTTGTTTAATAATTTTTAAAAATGTTTTACTTATTTTTGAGTGAGAGAGAGACAGAGCGCTAGCAGGGGAGGGGCAGAGAGAGGGGGAGCCACAGAATCCGAGGCGGGCTCCAGGCTCCGAGCCGTCGGCACAGAGCCCGACGCGGGGCTCGAACTCACGGACCGTGAGATCATGACCTGAGCCGAAGTCGGACGCCTAACCAACTGAGCCACCCAGGGGCCCCAGTAGTGTGTATTTTTAAAACGAAGTGAGAGTTGAGTTTTCCCCCTTTCTTTTGGTTGTTGAGATTTCGAGTGTGTTTGTATTATGTGTATGGCAAATCTCCCCTAACCCCACGTCAGAGTGTTCCGCATGTGTTTCTGGAAGAAGGGTGTTCACCTTGCCTCCTATAACGTTTTAAGGGTTTTGGACTTTATCTCTGCTTACTTGAGAAGGAGATGTTTATAGATGCGTTGGCCCAGGGAATGTGTTGGTGGTTTGACGTCCACTGACTTCTATTGTACGTGTCAGTTCCTGTAGTAAAGTGTTGAGTCCCTAATAAGACAATCTGGTGGGTTAATGACAAGGACTAATTCAACCAAATCACATTGAACTTTTAAAAATAGCTTCATATTAACATTGGAGTCTGCCCGCCGTGCGATCTTTGTGTCACTTAGTGCAGCTTGAACTTTGGCAGTAAGTACACCCGATTTACTCAGTTGAGCCTTCGTCCTTCCTAGAGGTCTCTTCTTCAAAGTTTGTTCAAAAGGAGACAGAGAAGGTGATGGGAAACTATGGGGATTGCCATTGTGTATAGTGGTCTCTGAAATTATAGAGAACACGACTTTGGTGTTTGTCTCCAAAAGAGCTTAAGTAAAGGTTATAAGATTTTAGGCCACTCTGGCCTCTTTTAAATCTGTGGGATGTGTTAAATCGGTCACACTTAAAGGACAGTTTTAGGACTCTGAACTCCTCTAGAGATAGAAATTGCCCTCGGTGGTTGCATAACAGGAAGGGCTTAAACAGCTGGGTAGCTTGAGTCAATAGTGTGTACTTGAAAGCCTCCCCCTTCTTTTTGTACTTTCTTTTCATCTTCCACAGGAAGAAAGTGATATTATAAACATTGAGCTTCACGCTGGCCCCAGTAAAGTGGTCCATTTCCTCCTGCAATTGTGTACTCTCTTCTGCATGGTGGTTGGATAATTCTGAGCTATGGCAGTAGAACGGCTTTGCTACCTTGAACAGTCTCTAACCGGCAGCTCTGAAATGCCTGAAAGTGCTTTTCTGTTTCCAGGGTGACTGATTGCAGTCCTCAAGCCGGGAGAGGTCTGTACTTCTCCCATTGCAGAAACCTCGCTGTCCCCTCCTCCCGAGCTGCCCTTCTCCCCTTGTCCTGGTTCCAGGACACTTGGCTTTCGGGAGTGTGTTGAGAACCCCCCACAGCAGCCGCCTCTCCGGGCATCTCTGACCCCAGAGCTTGGTGTAGAATAACGAGGAGACCACAAAACGCTCCGTGACAGAGCGGGGGAAGCTTTGCGTTCCTCGTACATCCTACATCGTGGCCTAGCTCCCTAGGACCTTGATGTTAAAAAAAGAAAAAAAGTTCTGGCCACAGCATAGGGTCAGGGGGACTTAAAAGTTGGGCCACAGCATACAAAATCTCTGCATTCTTCTAGAAAATACCTGCATTTCATACTTCCTTCTAAGGATGTTTTCTGGGTCAGATTTTAGTAAAACAAAATTCTCAAACTTGATGACATCATTTTAGGTTAAATGTTTCCAAGCAAAAGTTTCCTTATGAGCTTTGTAAAACGTGCTTTGCCAGTATGCACTGTAACTTGGAATTCTGTCTTTTTATTCCTTATTTAAATAACATGGAATTGACAGTAAGCAGACTTCGTCCATGTTGAGATTATGTCCATGTTCCTCACGAGAGTTTATATCTTGAATCAGAGAACAGGGTTGCCCATGTTGAAACTTCATTAACCCCCTCCTCTGTGTTAGAGACCACCTAGCTAAATCTGTCCTAAGCTGAGGATTGTGTCTAATAAGGAAGGGATGCCTAAGGCTTTGAACTCTCAGAAGAGGACTTAAGGGAATTTGGGGGTGTCTCTGGGATGCTAAAGGTTTTTCCTAATGGAATCCAGAACTTGGCTCAGAGCAGGAGAAAGAGGAGTAGGCTGGGTGTTTGGAGTGAGGTTGGATAGGACGTGGCTAGGTTTGATGCACCATAGCCCTAGCCCACAGCCCACTAACCTTAGCTCTCCCCTTGGACCTGCTTAAAATAAGGATACCAGACCTTAGGAGTAGTGAACTTCACACAGGTAAAGTCAGAAGCTCTCCTCACACTCTTGAAAATGGAAACCTCAGAGTGTGGTGAAACCAAGGGAATAAAAACCTGGAAAGACCTTCCCGCACCTTCCATTACTATACGTAGATGTTGGGGAGAATGGCAACAGGTCAGTGTAGTGAGAACTGGGAGCACAAAGAGAAGTGTCTTCTGGACTCCTGTGCCTTTGCTATGTGTCAGAGTCCCCAGGTTGTAACTTTGGCCCCTCCTGAAAGTGTGAGGCGCCCTTGGTATACCATAGGAGGACACTGGATTTCACGTGGTAACCTGTCTAAATGATAAAAGTGCAGAAAGGTGCATTGCATCTCTGATGGGAACGAAGGGATGGATTTATTTATCATGAGGAGTAGCTTTGATGTTCATCTGCAGGGAAATGACAGGTAGCTGTGGTTAGTGCCGGGCCGGTTAGAAAAGCTTTGTGAAAGGAAAGGTGCCAGTTATACGTTTGTTGCGTTAGTTTCCTTTGCAGAACGCTAAATCTAAACGGTAAAAGTCAGGTGGGAAAAGCTGGAGAGCAGGGCAGTTACTTGTCAGACTTTCTCGCCCACAGGATTTTAGTTTTGGTGAGGTTTTCTCCCCCAACCCCCCTGTCATGTCTATGTTATAATGCAGATGGTATAAATCATCACTGGATCATTTAAAAGATGTGTGAGCATTTTTGTTACAACGGGTCTTTTATTCCTGTGCCATTTTTAAGACAAAGCCATATTTAAACTGGATGTTTCAGGGTGACAAGTTAGTAAAACACTAACATAACTAAATAAAACTGTGTAGTTGGTTTCTACAGAAACAAGCTTTGATTAAATTCTTTTTTAACGGCCTTGTTGAGATATAATTCACATATCATACAGTTGAGCCCATTTTGGTGAGGTTTTTTTTTTTGTCAGTCACTGAAGGGAGGATTCTTCATGGGAATATACAATGTCTGGAACACTGAATCCATAGAGAACATTGAACAGTGCCCCTGACAGGTGACTAATACCTTCTGGCACATAAGACTAGGGTTAGCGCTAGCAGCGAATAAGCTGCGGTCACTGCAAGAGAATTGAAAGAATAATTTTGTGGATTTGGCTCTACTCTTGGCTTGTCATGCCATTGTTGTTAACGTATCCTTGTGAGGTTCTGATTTCCCTAGTCCTTGTCCTGCCTTTATTCCAGGCTCCCTTCCCTTGGGGATGTGCTAATGGAGAAAAGGCATATTAATGTTGGCTGCCCTCCTCTGCGTTTAAGAGATTGCCCCCATGGGGTCCCCTTGGTTTTAGCTCCTCTGCCCTGCACAAAAATGCCAGCATTGACTTTCAGCTCTGGGCAGCAACTGTTGTTTTGGGGAAGATGTTCTTCTCATGTTCTTCCTGGGTACGTGGGTGATAGAAGTCGTTCTTTATTTGCACACGTGTTGATTGGGAATAGTCTGTGCTGAGGGATGAATTAGAGAATGGAAGCCGGGGAGAGGAGGAGGAGGAGGAGTGGACAGCCTGCCTTCGAGGAGATATCTGGCAAACATTTGTAGGGTGGCACATTTGGACAAATATTAATAAACTAGATTTTGTGCTGCGAAGTAGCCTCTGGAGTCATTCCACCAGGGGCTTTAAAAAATATGCTGGCTCATCCCATCCTGGAGATCCTGATTGAATTGACCTGGAGGGTTAGCTGGGCATGTTCCCCAGGTGAGTCCCATATGCAGCCGAGGTGGCCAAGCACTGGGCCCAGGGATTTTCAGCAGCACTTCTATCACCCACGCTCTGGAGAACTGTCTTGCATAACTTGGAAAACTGGAACTTTAGAATCCTAGAACCCTCAACTTCTACCCGAATCATCCTGGACAGAGACTAGGTGGAGGCTGGACTCCCCCACGGAAGCCTTATTCAGGGCCCAACAGCCTTTATTCCCACAGAGGAGGTATCTTTCTGTTCGGAGAAGCTATAGAGACAGAAAAATTTTTTTTTTTTCTTAAAATATATGAGTGTCTGTCATTATCTAGAAGGTTGCCTTAGGGCCAATCTTTAACAGAGCCAGAAAGAATCTTAGCTTATAAAATCATCTTCTGACGTTGCAAAGTATAGTTTACTTACCTGGGGGTGTGCTAATTAATTAGCCTTGTATTTTGAGTGGAATGCGTTTCATTTTTCTGTTTCTCTGTCCCCTTATTTGTATGCTTCTTGCAGAGTAGTTATGAACACAGGCTTTGATCCACACTGCCTGGCTCAAATCCCAGCTCTGCCACTTTGGAGCTGTGCAATCTCAGATGAGCTCCATAACCTCTCTGGGCCTCCTTTGTCTCAGCTGTTTTGTAGGAATGCTAATAGCCCTTACTCACCCTGCGGGAGGGTTAACTACATCAGACAAGTGCCTGGCATGTGGTGAGCACTCAGAATGTGTTAGCAATTATTGTTATGGTTGTTTTGAGCATCCGAGCTCTCATATGTGCAGAGCGGTGGGGGGCGGGGGGGCGGGGAGGGAGAGATGTAATTCATGTGTGGCAGTTCATTAACCAGGAAGGACATCTTGAGGCGGAACAGATGTCAGACAGGTCTCTCTAGCGAGGGGTAACTTCATCTGCCTTGCCTTTTAAACCGTGCTCCGTAGAGCACGGAACAGGTGGCCGCATTTTGCCGCAGTCTGCATGAGATGAACCTCTCTGACCCGAGCCCATCGCCTCAGGACTGCACGGGGCCTCAGCTGGCCACCATGAGGCAGCTCACCGACGCTGACAAGCTGCGCAAGGTCATCTGTGAGCTCCTGGAGACGGAGCGCACCTATGTGAAAGTATGTCCCCTTGTCCCGCCCTGCCTTCCAGCGGGGCCTGCCTTCCCTCACTTCCAAGGAGGGGCTCTGTGGGTTCATACCCCTGCTTGACTAACCACAAAGCCCGGTGGTGGTAATGAGACATATCTTGGTCCCCCTTGGAATCTGGCCTTTCTTCTGAACGTTCATTTCTCCTGCGTCTTAAGGAAGCTCATCAATTCTTAGAGCAATTCTTTGAGATTTGTAAGTGATCGACTGAGAAAGGAGATGATGGAGAATATTAAGTGAGCCTTCTGACCTTTCTGAATCTGTCATTGGGCTAAGACTAAAATTGAATTGAGTTTTTGAAAAATGTAAAGGTGTCATTTTCAGGATCTAATTTGAGTCTAGGCAGAAGGGCATCTGTTTTGTTTTTATTCTCACTTGTGTTCAGACATTTAGTTATATTCCTGTAGCTATGTAATTTATTCCTTCATCATTCATAATGTCTATCGAATATGTATAACTATAATAGGTGCATTTTACACACACTGCAAAACGTACATTGTAATACATGCCTATGACTGTAATAGTTATATATTCCTATAACTATATAATTTAGTTAGATGTCACAACACTGTGATCTGTTTTTAATTACCTATTTTAGTCTTTAACTCCGGGGTCAGCAAATTATGGCCCTCAGGCCAAATCCAGCCTTCTGCCTGTTTTGACACATAAAGTTTTATCGGAACGTGGCCACACACACACACATTCACTTATGTGTTTGTGCTGCTGTCACAGGAAGCGGCTTTCCTGTTACAGCAGCACAGTTGTGACAGAGGCCACATGGCCTGCAGTCTAACATATTGCAGGAAATTTGGGCTCACTCCTGCTTTAAGGGAATTTAATGACCTAAAGAGTGTAATGTTAGCGTTTCGGACATAATCTGTTTTTTCTTCTTTAGATGCTTTACAGACTTTTAGATGTGCTAATGAAGTATCTTTCAACCCTTAGGACTTAAACTGTCTCATGGAGAGATACCTAAAACCTCTTCAAAAAGAAACTTTCCTCACCCAAGATGAGGTATGATGGAAAAACGACCTAACTTTGGGAGGGTCACATTGCAGTTGAACCTGGTGAAGAAGGAGCGAGGCACACAGGCAACACTGAAAGCAATTTGAATTTGCTTAATTGTAATAAATAGCTCAAGTGATTGCCTGTTAAGCTCTTGGCTTGCGCTCAAAGGGTGAGGAGCTGCCCCCCCCTCACCTTTCCCCCCTTCCCCATGGTGGGCTCATTATCTTAATTGATAAGTATTGATAGAAGAGCTTTGAAATCGGAAGCAAATAAAGTTTCTGACCACTAATGTAATGTAGAGTGGATTAAATTTTTTTCCGTTTTCCAGCTGGACGTGCTCTTCGGAAACCTCACCGAAATGGTAGAGTTTCAGGTAGAATTTCTGAAAACCCTGGAGGATGGAGTAAGACTGGTCCCTGATTTGGAAAAGCTCGAGAAAGTCGATCAATTTAAGGTAAGTCTCATCTCCAAAGGTATGAGGCTGCCTCCTAATGTCATGGGTGGGCTATTCTGTAGGTCAGGTTGACTCTCCTGATAGCAGGGGGCCTGTGCTCTTTCTGGTCAGTTCTCGTGCTCACGGTGTTGAGTCTTCATTGGACCTCCAGTGGCGTCCATTCAGGAAGGGAGTCTAAGAGGGGACCTTTGTCTGGCTAAGGGGACACTAGTGCCATCAACATGTATCAAACCTGGTAGGTCTACCAGCTTCTGCTGTGGAAGATAGACCAAGCTTGACCTTTTGTTCTGTTTATGTGGGGCCCTTTAATACTTGTTATTAGCAAATTAGACCAGCACCCTTGGTTTCCCAGTAAACAAATTAATTTATCCTGTTCTGGAAAACTTTGCTTAATGGAAATGCTTATCATTATCCAGGAGGAACACGATCTTCCATCTTACAGCGTTCTTATAGCCTTAATGAGGATTTATGACGAGTACCGTAGTGAGGATACTTACAGCTTGTGTCCTCCTCCTTGGCCGGGTTTCCTTTATTGCAGATAATTTCCTATGCTACACCTGCAAATGACAGAGCTCGCTGCTTCATGCACAGTGTTGTTGGCTTACATGTCACCGTCATACGCTTTTAAAAAACAGATTTTAAAATTCGAGTATAATTGACATAGAATATGCTGCATATATTCAAATTGCACAGTTTGATGAATCTTGCCATATGTACATACCCATAACGATCAGCCCCGAATGTGTTTTTCCTGCTCTTTGGTGATTCCTGTCTCCCGCCCCTCACTGCCCGTCAGCCCCAGGCCACCGCGTGCACTTTGTGATACCATAGATTAGTTAGATTAACTTGCATTGTGCAGTTTTATATAAATGGCATCATGCAGCGTGTGCTCTTTTTACGTGGCGTCCTGTCCTTAGTTTAATCACGTTTCATCCTTGTGGCTGCGTATCTCAATCTGCCAATAGTCCAACCTTGCCATCGCTCAGTGGTGACCCCCGACACGGGTTAACAGGTATAGCAATCTCTGTTATCTTACCACCTTTTCTGGACACTTGGGTGGTTTCCAAGTTTGGGGCAGTTGCAAGTAAAGCTGCTGTGAACATTTGTGTACAAGTGTTAGTGTGGATGTCTGCTTTCTTTTCTTCTGGCTAAATACCCAGGAGTAGAGTGGCTGGATCACGTGGTTGAGCCAATGTACCTTGTCACCGGCGGTTCCCTCTTACCCTCACGAGGAGGTCATGGTCTCTGTTTATAATTGTAGCCATCCTAACGCATGTGTAGTGGCATCTGGCTGTGACTTTCATTTTAATTTCCCTTATGACATGACGGTGCACATGTTCTGATGTGCTCGTTTGCCTGTAACATATCCTCTTTGGTGACGGATCTATTCATACCATTCGCCCATTGATTTTTTTGGTTTTCTTACTATTGGATATTGAGTAGAAGTCCTTTACCAGAACCGGGATCTGTAAATGTTTTCTTGTCATACAGTGTCTTTCAAAGATCAGGAATTTTAAATTTTGACGAAGCCCAATTTTTCAAATCTTTTCTTTCTTGGGTCACACTTTTGGTGTCCTGGCTGTGGCATTTTGGCCTAAACCAGGGTCATAAACATTTTCTTCTGTTTTCTCCCAGAAACTTTGTAATTGGGGCATGTACCTTATGGTCTCGGATCTGTTTTGAATTAAATTTGTTAAGGTGCAATGTAGGAATCAAAGTCATCTTTTTTGCCTGTGAATGTGATTTTTCTGGTACTATGTGCTGAAATGACCATCCTTCTATTCTCTTTGCTTTGTCAATTTGGCCATTGTGTTGGACTCAGGTTCAGCTGTCTATGTAGGGCCCCCATACGCTTCGACCTCTCGTAGAGCCTGCCAAGATATGGCTGAGTGATGTTAGTATACACATTTAGGGACTTGGCTGCCCTTTCTCCCTCGTGTTTTTTTGGGTCAGTGATCCTTTGCAATGTGAGCTATTCAGTATACATACACACGTTCATACACTTAGCATATGAATATAGTCTTTTCTTTTTAAGTTTATTTATTCTGAGAGAGACAGACACAGCGTGAGCCAGGGAGGGGCAGAGAGAGATGGAGAGAGAGAATTCCAACCAGGCTCTGCACTGATAGAGTGGCACTTGAACCCATGAAGCTGCGAGATCACGACCCACGCCAAAGCCAAGAGTCAGACAATCAGCCGACTGAGCCACCCAGGTGCCCCCAAATGTGTTTTTATATATAGTCATCTGTTTTTATTTGGATATGTCTTGAGACTGGTTGCAAGAAGAGTCTGGAAGAATTCCCGGATCTCCTTCACCCAGATTTCCCAAATGTGAACATTTGACCACGTTTGCTTTATTATTTCCCTCCCTTCCTATCTCTGATATGTATATGTGTATGTATCTGTGTGTCTGTGGAATATAATTTTTTTTTTCCTCAAACCATTGAAGAGTTTAGTTGCAGGCAGGATACCTCTTTAATCCTAATTACCGCATAAGGTACATTTGTGTGTGTGTTCAAATGCTGCTTGGATGAATTAATTTTCTCCCCTCTTCATCCTCAGGGTGGTTCTGCTGTCCATTAAAAATACAGTTTGGTTCATTTGTGTGTGTTTTTAATGATAACATGTATTTTCTAAATTAGTGCATTAATTAAGACAGTTCAAAGTCATGACAAGGGTCAGTGATTTGTTAATCAAAAAAGTTGTTTGATGAGGATCTAAAAAAATAAATGGTTACAGACATTCCTTAAAACACTTGGTTTAAAAAAATTTTTTTTAGCATTTATTTTTGAGACAGACAGAGTGCGAGTGGGGGAGGGGCAGAGAGCAAGAGGGAGACACAGAATCTGAAACAGGCTCCAGGCTCTGAGCTGTCAGCACAGAGCCTGACACGGGGCTCCAACTCATGAACCATGAGATCATGACCTGAGCTGAAGGGGGACATTTAACTGACTGAGCCACCAAGGCGCCCCTAAAACACTTGGTTTTAATCTAAAGCATACAACACTCATTAAATTCACTTACCAGTCTCTTGCTGGGACGCCGGTTCTTTGAGTGTAGGTTCAGTGAATCAATTGAGGAGAGGTAGGTGAACAGAACTGTAGTATGAACATGGCTGCATTATGAGCAGGGTTCTTCTAGGAGGGACTGCTGCATGGATTCTTTGAGTAAGCTGTCTCTGAACGGTTACAGTTCTAAATTCCACTCGAGCGGGACTCTTCCCTGACTGTGGCTTTACTGGTTTATTGCATAACCTGAAGGTCTCCATTCTGCCAGGAAGGCAAGACAATTGATGCATATTGAATATTCATGGCCCAAGAGCTCCTCTCCAGCACCTCTCAGTTGGCTTCTGGATTGTCTTGCCTTTGCTCCCACACCTATCCCTGTCGGTTTTACCCTTGGTGCTCTGTCTAAATTCTGATTGTACATTTGGCCAGAAACATAAAAGCTTGTTCCAATATTCAGACTGCGTAAAACTCTAGTTCTAAGGCAGTATCAGAAAGAAATAACAACTAGTTCTGAGGTCAAACAAGTCTTGATAAAATGTGCCCTTGGAAATTTGCTACATCCAACATCCAGTGAGTGGCTCTATGATGTCCTACGGAAGGGCAACTTGGGGTAAATATAGTCTTTGTGTATAAACCCCTCATACTTGGGCACACTTTGTGCCCTGAGATCATTTTTTTAAGGCCAGAAGAATAAATGAATGCCTTAATGTTTTATCTGTGGGTGCCTGTATGGTAAATGCTAAGTAAGTCATAAGTTAGACCTAACTAATGGCTTGATACAGTTAACGTGAGGGGTTATGTTTAGAGCTTTCTCTTTCACATCTTTTCTTTTTAGTTACTGAGTGTATCTCCAAGGATAACTGTCCCTGCTGGACCCCTCTCAGCCAGGGTGGTGAGGTTGGAAGGGGTGGGGCTTGGAAAGGAGGAAAAGTAGAAAGCATAGGAAACAAGTGTAGGTCTCCAATTACCTATTCTGGGTAGTTGAAAAGAAACTTTTTGTTCTTAGTAGACCATCTACCAGAATTCTGTGCATTGCTCATTAGGTAAATTGCACATTGAAATCCAAAACTTTTTTTTTTTCTTGGAACGTCACTTTTATTTATTTTTTTTAATTAAAAAAGTATTTATTTTTTAGAGAGACAGAGCATGAGCGGGGGGTGGGCAGAGAGAGAGGGAGACGCGCAGAGAGAGAGGGAGACACAGAATCCAAAGCAGGCACTGAGCTGTCCACACAGAGCCCATTTCAGGGCTTGATCTCATGAACTGTGAGATCATGACCTGAGCCGAAGTTGGGCGCCCGACCGACTGAGCCACCCAGGCGCCCTGCAAACTAAATTCTAATAGGGAAGTTCATCACCCATCTTTGAGCCTTTTGAGGCAGAGGGTGTGGGCTGGGAGAGGATATCTAATTCCCATAGCCAAGCATGTTTCTTACATTCTTATCTGCTCCCTGCTAGACAAGGGAGTAATATTGGAGAGGGTGGAATTAGTGACCAGGAAAATGTGTCTTCTATTTTTGGGGTGTATGCATTTCTTGCCTCTATTTGGTTTGTCGCTTCCCCCTCCCAGGATGAGCTAATGAGAGATTTCAGGAGATTTCTGCCTTTTCCAAAATGCCATCTATATTTTCTCGTTAACATTCAGACATCCCAGGTAGGTCATTTAAAGGCCCAGGGCTGGAGAAGCAGTGACATCTCCACTGTAATTAGCAAGAAGGCCAACTCCACAAACATGTAAGCCCTCGACCTTTCCAATAGTCAGTTTCAGGCCGTTGGGGAGCAAAGAAAGGCTGTGACAGGTGTGAATGGTGCTGATGTGTGGGGAGGGTCAGACAGATGTGGGCTCCCTCTGTGTCCTGCTGATATTTCTAGATGAGGATGAATATGAACTAACTGTGGTTTTTCTCGTTGAATCCAGAAAGTGCTGTTCTCCCTGGGGGGATCCTTTCTGTATTACGCTGACCGCTTCAAGCTCTACAGTGCCTTCTGCGCCAGCCACACGAAGGTCCCCAAGGTCCTAGTGAAAGGTAGGCCGGTGAGGACTGGGCGGCAGGTGGGCATGTCTGTTGTAGATTCACATTTGTGTGGCTGACTGTGGTTGGGGGTTTGGGACAGAAATCCACGAGTCATTGATGTGCCAGATAGATGTTACACAAATAAAGGTACTAAGAAGTGAAATGCATTGCTGTCTTTTTTTTTTTAAGATTGTTTTTATTTATTTTGAGAGAAAGATAGGGAGCAACCAGGGGCGGGGCAGAGAGAGAGGGAGACAAAATCCCAAGCAGGCTCTGCTGTCAGCACAGGGCCCCACGCAGGGCTCGAACTCACAAACCCTGTCTTTTTTTTTTTAAGTAAAGTCTGTGCCCAACATGGGGCTCTAACTCACAACCCTCGAGATGCCGAGTCACACACTCTACTGACTGGGCCAGCCAGGTGCCCCTACTATCTTGGACTAACGGTCTTACCAGTCTTCTCATAACGAAAGCTTTGACTCATCTATTTGGGGCCAGAATTGAGGGGTCATCTTGCAATTATGCAAAAACAGAGGAGCTTTAGAAATCCCTGCTTTACTCCTAATGTTCATTCATTTCCTTATAACCTCGCACACTTACTGGGCCTTTTGGTGGAATGCCTCTTTCCCTCACCTATGTTTTTCTCCCTAGGTGTGTGATAATAGCCACCACCAGCACTGCTAAAGCTGAGAGTCTCCAGAAAGCTGTTTTGCTTCCCTAGTTCAGCATGTGATGTTAGTGATAGGTGATTTAAAAAAAAAAAAAAAAAAGATATTTCCCTGGGAAACAGTATAATCGGTAGAAAGTCCGATTGCAAAGGATCTCTGGAAATCAGCCTGCTCGTTCTTAACACTTCCCTGTGGCTGTCATGTGCACAGCTGCGGATCCAGTCCCTGAATACGTAAATAATTTATCCATGTTATGCTTTCCTGCCAGAGAGAATGAGCTTGACTTAATTTAAAACCTATTATAGGAAATATTAGTACAGTGCAGGTCTCCGGTTGACAGAAGAGCATGCCCCAGATAATGACATACTTACTGGTAGAGCTAGTTGATTGCCACGGCACCCATCCCAACATGAAATTCAAAGGACATTTTCAACATGAAATTTAAAGGAAGCCTGGGTGGCTCAGTCCGTTAAGCGTCCGACTTCAGCTCAGGTCATGATCTCAGAGCTTGTGAGTTTGAGCCCCGTGTCGGGCTGTGTGCTGACAGCTCAGAACCTGGAGCCTGCTTCCGATTCTGTGTCTCCCTGCCTCTCTGCTACTCTCCCGCTCACACTGTCTCTCTCTCTCTCAAAAATAAATAAACATTAAAGAAAACTTTTTTAGAGGGAGCCTGGGAATTTCCTTGTCACGTTGTCTGGCCCAGCTTTTCGCATATGCTGCTTTCACGTGTCCTGTATTGGGCATAGAGTTCTGCATACAGGCTTCTTTTTCAACTTTAACCGACTGCTGATTGTTAGGAGATCATTAACATAACAATTTTAGAGAACTTTGTTCTCCTGTAAAATTATATACACATTACAGGCTTTAGAGCAATTTGTGTTACTTTTAATCACTCAATTAGATTAAATTGTGCCCCTGGAGACTTTTTCTTAATCCAATAACATTGTTTTTTGCACCTGAAAAATATTATTGTCTTTCAAAATGATCGCTGGAAACATTAGGTATGACCTACATTTTTCTAATGGCCAAAGTTGCCTAGAGGGTAGGGTGAAGAGAACTCTTGGAGAACAAAAGTCTGTGACTCTTTTCTTTTGTGTTAATGTTTATTTTTGAGAGGAAGGGAGCGCAAGTGGGGGAGGGGCAGAGAGAGAGGATCCAAAGTGGGTTCTGTGCTGAGAGGCAAGAGCCTTATGCGGGGCTTGACCTCATGAACTGTGTGATCATGACCTGAGCCGAAGTCAGATGCTTAACCGACTGAGCCACCCAGGTGTCCCAAAAGTCTCACTCTTAATAGGCTCACAGCTAGGTTGGATGAAAGTGAGACTCCCCTAACTCACCAAGAGCTGAGTTTTGTTCTGCCATGAAATATGGTTGATGGATTAAATGCCAGTGGCCATTGTTTTGGGCTTTCGGATTTTGAGGGGATTCCTACGCCCCTTCTAGATGTGGGCAGTAGACACTTGGGATGTCGCACAGTAGCCACAGCCTCCTGGGCATCGGAGGGGCTGGGCCTTGCTTTCCTGACACACAGGCCACTCCTTCCCAGTGTCCTTTCTTTTCCCAGATTTGCTCTTTGGCAGGAGGAGAAACAGTGGCCCCAAACCCCATGCAGTCTAATTCCTCTTCACAGGGCTTAAAAGGGATGAAAAGATTGTGGTCTTTATGAGGCCACCTTCACATGGTTGCTGTTTTTCTTTGAATAAAGATAGAATAATCAGTTTACAATCCATGATGCCCTTTTACAACATCTTCTGGTCTCCGCTTGCGCTGCTAATCCCTGGAGACGGAGATACATTTTTATCAGAAGCTTTTGAAAAAGGGTATGCCCACCGTTACGTCACTTTGATATATCGTACCTTTTTTCCCCCGTTTTGTGCCCTCATTCCCTTCTCCCTCCCCCCAGTTTCTCTGCACCTAGATGGCATTAATTAGCCTTGTCTTCCTAATTAGGCTTGTCTTCCCAACTACCCACTGGTGGGTACCTTGTTGCTCGTCTGGGTTCCCTCAACTCCCCAGGGCTGCTTTTCAGCCCTGCTGGGACACAGATAGAAACCAGGCTGATGAAGAAAGTGCTGCCTGGGTTCTTTGAGGTCAGATGCATGTTTCCCTCTGAATGGACTCTGCGGTCCTGGGCTCTGGGAGGGAGGCGCTGCCCTCTAGATGCTAATAGCTGGTAGCAGCGTATTAACATAGAACAGATCTTAAAAGGCATTGGCTGTGGGAGACCCAGCCCTGCCCCACTTCCCAGAGCTACAGAGCACCACTGCTTCTCATTTTTTCGTTTTTTTCATATCTTTTCTCAAAAAAAAAAAAAAGGATTCTAACTGGCAATGAAATGTTTTA